ATCTTTCATTTCATAGCTTAATTTGTTGATTATATGGAGTTATTGCTACCAATTACTTTTCACTTACCGAGAATGAAAACTAAAGAAATATTGTGGAAGTTAATGAAGCACCGTAGACTGTACCCTAAAAAATAAGGAACATGAATCCCTTTTATTGTTTTTATTAATATATGAATGTTACTTCTCTGAAGATGGCAAGAACTTGCATATAATGCATATGGTAGAAAAAGCACAATCATGTTGATTGATGCTGATTGATGCAAAGTGAAAGTTTCATTTTGGCAACATGTTGTACTCTAAAAGTCTTAAATAAATATGTATTCCCATTTGTTACCTAATGAATGTAGACATACTATAGAATGAATGTAGACATAATAAATGCAGACAAACTTTTATGTAATGTATATAGCTAGCAAAATTATAGGGATTCACAACAGAGTTATAACATCTCCTTTTTTAATTCTTTATATAGTTAGGGCTCTATGTACTGGTATATATACTTATTACTTTTTGAAATAATACATAAGGAGATTGCTCCATTTTCTTTGTATCTTATATGGTATCAGAGCAGAGACATTTGATTCGTCGGTGTTGCTTTAGAAAGTTTTTCGGAAGTCATAGACCAGGTATGATACGAGGGAATCAGTTTGGGGTTTCATTTCGGATGTTGGCTCGATATTTTCGGTCAAAATTTTGTGATTTCTTGTTCATTAGACTTCGGTTTGGTAGATTTCAAAGCATTCCAAATTTTGTCAATTTTGTTTTCTTTGATCAAAATCATCTTTTTTTTTACTTTCCATTTGCTGATTTGGTGTCTACTATCTAAAGACTCCATATTCTTGGTAAAGTTCTCCTCTGTGAATTTTTTGCTTGTTGAGCTTTTTTCAAGTGAAGATCATTTTGGTGTTGAAGTATCTTTTAGTGGAATTTTACTGGTTCCTCTTCCATTATTTTGATACATTGTGTGTTCTAGTTGAGCAAATTCTTGGTGGAACTTTTCGATTATATCAGTTGGAACTCTATTCTGTTTGATTCTCACTTATTCCCTTTTGTTTACTAATTTCGTAGATTTATGGCTATGTCTCTTAGTCCAACAATCTTGGTTTCAGATGAGTTCTAAAATTCCTTCCATATCAAAAATTAATTGAGGAATCTTTTTCGATTACTGATTTTGTTAGGTCAGATAATAAATGTCTTATCACCTCTTCAAATAAATGGGTGATTGTCAAGTGCCACAATTAACATGGCAGATAATTCAACTATTGTTTCTAATTTTTGGTCACACAAATCAACCTCTCTAGTTACTGTAGCTGATGGATCAACCTATAATAGTGTTGGATATATGACTACCAAACCAACTTCCTCTATTACCCTGTCATTTGTATTAAGTCTATCAAACTTGGCCTTTAATCTGCTTTCTGTTAGTAAAATCGTCAGAGACCTTCATTGTTGTGTCGCTTTTTTCCCCGACCATTATTTATTTTTAGATCTTACAATGAAGCAGATTATTGGTAAATGATATATATCAGGTGATCTATACATCCTTGATAAATGGGAGCCACAGTCTATTGCATGCTCTAGTGTTGCGTCTCCTTTTGGAGCACATTATCGATTAGGACACCTTCCCCCCGGTTACCAAACTCACTTATATTTGCTTATTTATTTCTCTAGGTGCTTTTGAGAATTGGCCTTTATATCAGTTGGATATCAAGAGTGTGTTCCTTTATGGTGATCTTTAGGAGGAAGTATATATGGAGCAACCACCTAGTTTTGTTTCTCAGAGAGAGTATAAGAAAGTTTGTCATTTGAAGAAGTCTGTGTATGGCTTGAAGCAAAGTCCTCGAGCTTGGTTTGACAAGTTTAGTGAGGTAGTTCATGAGTTTGGGCTAAAAATGAGCAAGTGTGTTCATTAAGTCTTCTATAAGCAATCAACAACTCGAACTATTCTTCTTGTAGTATATGTTGATGACATTGTTATCACAAGAAGTGACTATGTAGGGATTTCTTCCCTCAAGTCTTTCCTGCACACTAGGTTTTATACAAAGGACTTAGGTATGTTAAAATAATATTTAGGAGTAGAAGTAAATTAAATCCAGAAGGGTATTCTTTTATCACAGAAAAAGTATATTCTTAACTTGTCTGCAGAAACTAGAAAGTTAACAGCTAAATCTTGTAATAGCCAAATGGTTCCTGATGTGCATCTTAAGAAAGATGATGGCGAACCTTTTGATGATCCAGAGAGATACAAGTAGTTAGTTGAAAAATTAAACTAGCTCACTATGACTCGTCCATATATTGCTTTTGTAGTAAGTGTTGTTAGCCAGTTCATGTCTACACCAACGGTCAAACATTGATCAGTTTTGGAATAGATTTTATGTTACTTGAGAGGAGCTCCTGGACTTGGTATATTATATAGTAATCACGACCATACTTGTATTGAGTATTATGCAGATGCTGATTAGGTTGGATCCAAAATTAATAGAAGATCTACTGTAGGCTATTGTATCTTTGTTGGAGGGAACCTGGTATCATGGAGAAGTAAGAAGAAAGGTGTTATATGTCGATCCAGTATAGAATCTGAGTATAGAGCTATGTCTCAATTTATGTGTGAGATTATATGGATACATCATCTTTTGAATGAAACTGGGTTGGAGCATCCAATACCGCAAAACTCTGGTGTGACAATTAAGCTTCCCACCATATTGAGTCAAATTCGGTGTATCATAAAAGAACTAAGTATTTTGAGGTTGACTGCTATTTTATTCGTGAGAAGATTCAGGAGAACTTGATATCCACTGACTACGTGAAGACAGGAGAGCAGCCGATTGATTTATTCACAAAGACTTTGAATGGAATTCGAGTTTATTACTTTCACAACAAATTGGGCATGATCGATATCTATACTCAAGCTTGAGGGGGAGTATTACAGAATGAATGTAGACACACTACTGAATGAATGTAAACATAATGAATGTGGACATACTGTAAGCACATAATTTTATACCCGCACAATTTTTAAAGTTAGTTTCAGTATCTAGTATTTTTGCGTATTTATTTGAGTTAACTTTAATTTTCTAGAGTTTTAGTCTGTTTTATTTTCAATTACAACTTTTGAAAAACACCAAAAATAGTTTGTTTTATAATGTTTCCATCTTACATATTTTATTTTAAGGTCATTAGTATTTTGTATTGTTATTATTTTGATTCTACCATGATTTTAACATATTTTCTCTATTTCTAGTTTAGTTTAATATATATATATATATATATATATATATATATATATATATATATATATATATATATATATATATATATACACACACTTTATTTCTCTATTATATTTACTTATCTTCATGTATGTAGTCTTTTTTCAAATTAATTTATAGTGCTATTTGTTTGAGGGGAGCAATTATTTTAGCTAATGACATTATGATATGAAAAGGCCCATTTTGAGTTAATTCTAGAGAATTTGGTCCAAATTTAACCTCAAGTAGACCCAAATCAACAACCCAATATTCCCTAAACCCTGAGCCCAATCCTTCGACCCGCCTACCCACCCCTGACCCGCGATACAATCCTGCTGACCCGCCCCAAGGTGGAATAATTTATTCAACCTCAGTATCGGCAATCAAGACATCCTTGATCACGATTTTTTGTTGACTTTATTTCAGGTAACATGGGCAGGAGAACACTTCACAAAATGCGCTATGACGACTGAGGTCCGTTGATTGTCGTTCGAGGTCAAATTTGTGGCTCCTAATCCCGTTTGGTTATGTTTGTTTGTGTCGAGTGGATTTCAGTCCGTTTCAGTCCTAGTTCTTGTCCGATTTTGTGTTGCATCCCTTGTAGTCACTTCCAGAATTAATCAAAGAATCTCACTCATTTAGGTCTCATTCTCCTTCCCTCATTTTACTGTTATTGGTATTGATCTTAGTATGATGAGATCCATCAATTAGTTGGAAATTAACTCGAATGCTTTTTGGGGTATGCGTAGGTCAATTTCAGCCGCTTAAAGTAATAGCTAAGTCATAATTTGATTGGTTTTGGGTTGTGAATGGTTGAAATTTGAGTCGTTATTGTGGTTGGTTAGAGACAACAAATTAGGAATTGAAGCGAATGACCTCAAATTGAGTCGCATGAATCTATTGAATATACTAGGGTTGTATTTGAGTTAAAATCTACTTATTACATTTTCCCAAATAAAATCTAGTTATATGAATTATGAATCAGTTATGCACTTCATTTGCAGCTTGAATTGGTATTTTGTATTGCTGGCTGAAGTTGAGTTTGAAAAGAAATGTATATTCAAATCGCTTTTGCTAAAATTTGTTTGTCACTCCTTGGCTGTTTTGGTTCATGTCCTGAAAGTAATGCAAAAATTCATTGTTTTTAAACTATCTTGTCGTCGTCTGTTTGGATATTTGTATTGACGTTGCATTTAGTCTCATCTTCAATTTAATATCTATGCCTTAAGAAACACGCACACTTTTCTCTCCCTGACTTTTCTTTCTCTCTCTTTGCGCCTGCGCCTGACACGCTAATCCTAACAGTCATAAAATCGGTGACCAACTCAGCTGTCGGCGACCACTCTCCCCCTGGTAAGTCCCCTCTCTTCTCTCTTCTCTCTCCTCTCCATCATCCACACCTCTCATCCCTTTCTTCCCCCAACTCTCTCACCCCACCTTTCCTCTTTCCCGTCTTGTCATCTCCCCCTCTCATTGCCAGCGAGATGCCAATGATGTCTTTCTCTTCTACAATCTATCGGCCATCCTTTCTCCCCTCTCGTTTCACTTGCCCAGACCCGTGGGGGGGGGAGCGCTCTTTCACTCCAGAGAGAACAAGACAACAGACTCCGGCGAGATACGGACCAGTCACCGGCGAGTGGGAACAACCATAGTTAGGTTTTAGGCTAGTTTTGCGGCGCCGTGGTCACACGCAAACTAGACCTGTATTCAAGCCACGTGATTCATTAACCAGCAACTTCGGCCAGATCTTCGATGACCACCACCGGCCCCACCGTCTCCGACAACGGTACCAGGTTCTACGTTCTTTTCTCATTACACTTTGTCTTAGATGTACTTTGTTTAAATCTTTTTCATTGTTCGTAGTGTGTTCTCTACTAGTGTTATGTTATAGTTGTGGTTTATTTGCTTAGATCATTAAACTTTCTGATTCACATGTATTGTTTAGATCCTTTGTATTTGCTTTTCGCCTTATTAGCACCATCTGGGGTATTTAGTTTCACATATCTTCCTACTACTACCTAACATAGTACATTAGTTTTTATCCCCTTCTTGTGTGCCTTTTAGTTTCAGACTGTATTATTGGTATCATAGTGTTTATTGAATATAGTGGCTATTTTGAACGATGGTAAGGTAAGGTCATGTCCTCGGGTGATGGGAGGGTAGGGGAAAAGAAGGTAAGGGTGGTAAAGGTGAAGCTAGCTTGAGAGTGGGGTCTTGGAACATAGGGACCTTGACTGGGAAGTTTGTACAGCTAGAAAAGGTTCTCCATAAGAGAAAGATCGATATATCTTGTCTCCAGGAGACACGATGCGTGGGAGATAAGGCAGGTGATGTAGATAGGTATAAGTTATGGTACTCTGGTCACGTGGGGGGCAAGAATGGGGTAGGCATTTTGGTTGATAGTGATCTCCGAGAGCTAGTGGTGGAGGTTAATAGAGTGAGTGACAAGCTGATGGGCATTAAGCTAGTCGTTGGGGGTTTTATTTTAAACGTGGTTAGTGCCTACGCACCTCAAATGGGCTTGGACGAGGAGTTCAAGAGGTGCTTTTGGGAGGACTTGGATGAGTTTGTGCATTGTATTCCGCACAGTGAGAAGCTTTTCATAGGGGGAGATTTCAATGGCCACATTGGGGCGGTATCTGAGGGTTATGATGATGTGCGCAGAGGCTTCAGTTTTGGAGTTAGGAACGGAGGAGGAACTTCACTGCTGGATTTTGCTAAGGTGTTCGATTTGGTAATTGCTAACTCGAGTTTTCCGAAGAAGGAGGAGCACTTGTTTACTTTTTAGAGTTCGGCAGCCAAGACCCAAATTAATTATCTACTACTCAGGAAGCCGGATAGAGGTTTGTATGCAGATTGAAAGGTCATCCTAAGTGAGAGCCTCACGACCTAGCATAGGCTCCTGGTCATGGATTTGGAGATTAGGAGGAAGCGTAGAAAGAGGGTTGCGAATGGTCTTCCTAGGATCAAGTGGGGTGCTTCGACTGAGGTCAGTGCCCAGAAGTTAGGGGATAAGCACCTAGCTATGGGGGTATGGAGGAGTATTACGGACACGAGTGGTATGTGAACCGCGACTGCGAATTGCATTAGGGAGGCTGAGAGATATTGTGGGTCTCGAAGGACCCGTCTGGTGGTCGCAAAGGGGACTGGTGGTGAAGCACTTAGATCCAAGGTAAAGTGGAAGCCAAGAAAGTGGCTTATTTGAAGCTTGTGAAAAGCAAGGACGGGGAGAATAAAAGGACGAACAAGGAGCGGTATAAGGTGGCTAAGAGGGAAGAAAAGTTAGCAGTTATTGTGGCCAAGACTGTCGCATTTGAGATATTGTATGAAGAACTAGGAGGCAAAGGAGGGGACAAAACGTTGTACAGATTAGCCAAAGTGCGAGAGACGAAGGCCTGTGACCTAGACCAAGTAAAGCGCATCAAGGATAAGGAAGGTAAAGTGTTGTTAGACGAGGCTATGATTCGATAGAGATGGCAGGCATACTTCCATAAAATCCTGAACGAGGAGGGGGATAGGAACATTGTGCTGGGGGACTTAGAAAACTCCGAGAGCCGCCGGGAATTTGGGTATTGCGGGCGTATTAAAGTTGCGGAGGTATATGGGGGCAATGCATAAGATGAGCAAGAGGAGAGAGACTGTGCTAGATGAAATCCCGGTGGAATTCTGGAAGAACGTGGGTAGGGCAGGCTTGAAATGGCTGACTGGGCTATTTAATGTCATATTTAGGAAGAAGAAGAAGATGTCTGAGCAATGGAGATGGAGTACCATGGTCCTGTTGTATAAGAATGAGGGGGATATCCAAAATAGTAACAACTATTGGGGTATCAAGCTACTGAGCCATACTATGAAAGTTTGGAAGAGGGCGGTGGAGCTGAGGGTAAGAAGGAATGTGTTTATTTCAGAGAACCAATTTGGATTTATGCTGGGGAGTTCGACTATAGAAGCTATTCATCTTGTTAGGAGGTTTATGGAGTAGTATAGATAGAGGAAGAGGGATTTACATATGGTGTTCATCGACTTAGAGAAGGCTTATAATAAAGTGTCGAGGGAGGTGCTGTGGAGATGTTTGGAGGCTAAAGGCATTCTTGTTGCATACATTAGGGCTATTCAGGATATGTATGACGGTGCTAAGACTCAGGTGAGGATAGTGGTAGGGGACTGTAAACACTTCACGATTGTGATGAGGCTGCACCAGGGGTCAACCCTCAACCCATTTATGTTTTCCTTGGCGATTGATGCGCTGACGCGTCACATTCAAGGGGACGTTCTGTGGTGCATGTTGTTTGTAGATGACATTGTACTGATTGATGAGTTGCGTTATGGCGTTAATGAGAGGTTGGAGGTTTGGATACAGACTTTGGAGTCTAAAGGTTTCAAGTTGAGCAGGACTAAAACAGAATACATGGAATGCAAGTTTGGTGTCGCAACTCAGGAAGAAGATGAAAACATGACGCTTGAGTCACAAGTCATTCCTAAGAGAGAAAGTTTCAAGTACCTTGGGTCTATTATACAAGGGAATGGGGAAATTGATTAGGATATCACACACCGTATTGGGGCGGGTAGATGAAATGGAGGCTCGCTTCCGGTATTTTGTGTGATAAGTAAGTGACACCAAAACATAAAGGTAAGTTCTATAGAGTGATAGTGTCACGCCCACAAACTGGGATGGGACGTGATTGGCACTCAACCCTAACCACTCGTTGAGTGAACCATGTACTATTTGTATCTAACTTCAAGTTCAATAGCAAAGAATCTAATGTGCCTAAATACTAATTCTAATCAAGTTGCATTTCTTAAGGTGACTGATAAAAATAATAATAAAAGATAAATCCCAAACTATTTTAATAATGACCCACAAACAAGTCATGAGCCTCTAAAATATGGAAAACAAAATTAAAATACATAGCCTACGGGGGCATCCCCGAAAATAAAAAAGCATTACGTAAAAAAAGATATAAATAATAGTCTGAAAACGGTCCGCTACCGCTGGGGTGAATCAACGGAGTCTGTAAACTGAATCTAGAATATCTCCTCTAGCCACATGCCTCGTTACCTGCATCCTAAATACCTGCCACACGACGTAGCAGGCCCAAACGGGCTAAGTACCACCAAAGGATATCTGGTAAGTCGCATAGGCTACCTCCTAAAAAGACGGAGCGAGACCTTCTGGAAAAATATAAGAAAGAAAAAGAATATACGGAAAAATATATAAATCATATAAAATTTTACAACCAAGTAATAAGCTGGAAACTGACACTGTAGGCTAAACTGTAAGCTAAAACAGAAACTTAACGTAGAAATTGAGCCCATAACTGATATCTGAAATAGAAAGTGAGTTATATATATATATTTTAAGACGTAACTTTGAAAAGTTAATTGTTACGCATAATGGCCCTGCGTACGTGAGCATCTGGGAACACGTACGGGAGAGTGTCGGCCTATTTCCCCAACAAACAATTGGCACCTGCGAGCGTGGGGTAGGTAACCCTGACATCATAGCACTCATGCTGGGGGAGGTTGGCCACTTCTCCCTACTGAATGTGAATATCACAAATAAAGGCACATAATAATTAGTATTACATATAAGCAAGTATTTATGTCACATATAATGTCGTACTAAATAAGAATTAGTGAACTGAGTATTGGATCACGAGAAGACATGACTTAGCTTTATCTAACATATGGAGCACAAGAGTTATAATTGAATTTCCTACTAGGAAAGTAAACCTCAACTCACCTCAAGTCTTAGCTTCAATTCGTCCTTGCAAACTTCCCGGGAGTTCAACAACTCATGATCTACAAATATTTTTTCTAGGATCATTAGGACATACTCAACAAGTTCAATTCACCACCAATTGAACTAATTTTTAAATCATGGATTACTCAATATAATCGACACTTAATGTGAAAAACAAATGTATTTCTCTATCAAACTTACTACTACAATATCCTTGACCACTTGGTATATGAAAAGGAAGAAACATATTTTAGTATCAAAAATATTACATGTCCATACTTAAATAACACCATCCAAAACCTATGACCCTAATAATAATCCAAATACTCTAGCAACGTTCAAATCTGATCCTCACTTTACCCTTAAAGCTTTGTCCATTACTAGATGAAAATAATTTTTCCATTATTTTAATATTTCTAATCATGTTCCCAATCTTTAAAAAACTTGGCAGCAACTCAAATGGGTTTAGAATCTATAAAATTGCTTTCAAATTACTTCTTTTCATCATTCTAAAGAATTTGATATCCATATCAATCCTAATGTAATCCAAGGTATATTACAGGGATAAGATTATATATCCACATACCTGATTGTTGGTTGAATTGAACAACGAAATTTTCAAGCTTTCTAGTTCTCTGCTCACACCAATTATGTAACCTCAAACTCCTCAAACAATAATGACCCAGGTAACAGATCAAACAATTATTCTTCCGCAACTTCTTTTTCTTAATTTGATTCCAGAGCTAAAGAGGTTTCAAAACAACTTTCCCTTGAGCCATTCTAAGGTTCTGCAAAGTAGGAAAACACTAAGAAGTGGGGCTGACCCACTTATTTTCTCCTTTATCTAAAATTTTGTTTTTCTTCCGTAAGTCATGCTAAGACTTTGTAAAGTAAGAACACTAAGAAGTGGGATTGCCGCACTTACTTTCTCCTTTATCTAATGTATTTTTTTCTTCCTTAAGTCATGCTAAGACATTGTAAAGTAAAAACACTAAGAAGTAGGGTTGCCCCACTTATTTCCTCCTTTAATCAAAAGTTTGGTTATTCTATCCATAAGATCTATTTCCATACTTAAGGTTAAATTAGTCCAAAAAATAAATGACGGGGTATTATATTCTTTCCCCCTTTAAATATCGTTCGTCCTCGAACGTGGAAATGTAGTCATTCCTAGGGATTGAAATATTTTCTTTGGAATCTTGTATTCTTAGAACCTTAGGGACTCGGAATTTTCATTAACTTTCCAAATTTTTAAAAATTTCGGAAGAGTCTCCCTTGTAACTGGAGCTTTCCATAAATTTTCAACATGTCCAACACCCGAATAACAATAACACTTTGCACCTCTTGCCACTCAATCCAATAATATACAATATTAAGGCACACCCATATACCTGCCAAAGCCATTTTACATCATTATAAGTACAAATATTACATAACTTGACAATCTAAATATTGTAAAGCTGAAAATGATTTATGTACCTGAAATCTCAAACAAATAAGGATATTTTTTCTTTATGGCTTCCTCGGGCTCCCTCGTAGCTTCCTCGTCTGAGTGGTTTCTCCATATTACTTTCACCAAAGCATTGTCTTTGGTTCGAAGTCTACGTACTTGCCTGTCTATTATAGCTACAGGGACCTCCTCATATGTCAGAGTATCATCAATCTCTACCTCCTGTCTATCAAGTACATGACTTGGGTCGTGAAAGTACTGTTTCATTATGGACATATGAAAAACTTGATGCACAGAAGATAACTCTGACGGTAAAGCTAGTCGATATGCTACAAGCCCAATCCTTTTAAGAATTGGATAAGGCCCTATATATCTTGGGCTAAGCTTCCCTTTTCTACCAAACCTCATGATACCCTTCATTGGAGACACCTTTAAAAATACATAGTCACCCTCTTTGAACTCAAGATCGCGGCGTCTTATATCTGAGTATGACTTTTGTCGGCTTTGAGCTGTTTTAAGTCGTTCCTGAATAAGTTTCACCTTTTTCAAGGCATCATGTACTATGTTTGGCCCAATAAGCTTCGTTTCACCTAATTCAAACCACCCTGTAGGCGAACAACATCGCCTCCCATATATGGCCTCGAATGGGGCCATCTGAATGCTCGCTTGATAACTATTATTATATGCGAACTCAATCAAAGGTAGATGCTCATCCCAGTTTCCTTTAAAATCAAGAACACATGCTCGTAACATATCTTCCAAGGTCTGAATTGTCCCCTCAGCCTGTCCGTCAATTTGAGGGTGAAAAGTTATACTTAGATTAACTCGGGTACCGAGACCTTCCTGAAAACTCCGCCAGAACTAGGCAGTAAACTGTGCACCCCTGTAAAAAAATAATAGACATGGGAGAACCATGCAACCGAACAATCTCTTTTATAATGTTGCATACTGGGGTGCCGTATAGGTTGTTTTGACTGGAAAAAAGTGAGATGACTTAGTGTGTCAGTCTACTATGACCCAAATGGAATCATGTTTCTTAAAAGTTCACGGCAAGCCCACCAAAAATCCATATTTCTTCTCTCCCATTTCCATTCTTATATTTCAATGACTTGAGCTAAGCCACCTGGCCTATGGTGTTCAGCTTTTACTTACTGACAGATAAGGCACCGTGATACAAAATCTGCAATATCTCGCTTCATATTATTCCACCAATAAACATCCTTCAAATGATGATACATTTTGGTAGAACCTGGATGTATTGAATATCTGGAGCTATGAGCTTCTACCATAATTGCCCTTCAAAGATCTTCTACACTAGGCATGCTTAAGCGGCCATCAAGTCTCTTCACACCATTCTCCTCAAGTGTAAAATTCATAATCTTTCCACTGAGGACACCTTCATTGAGCTTAATTAAGCTAGGGTCATCAAATTGTTTGGATTTAACTTGCTCTACTAAAGTAGACTTAGCACCCATACTTTCTATCAACCTTCCATCATACTCCTCATCGAGACAAACCCCTTGGCTAGCTATTTGTTGGGCTTCCTTAACTATTGGACGTTCGACCACACACAACCTGGTCAAACTCCCCATGGATCTTCTACTCAGAGAATCAGCAACCACATTCACTTTGCCGGGATGGTAAAGGATATTACAATCATAATCTTTAAGAAACTCCAACCATCTGCATTGTCTCAGATTCAACTCTTTCTACTTGAATATATACTACAAAATTTTGTGATCTGTATAAATGTCACATTGCTCTCCAAAAAGGTAGTGACGCCATATTTTTAGACCAAAAATAACTGCGGCTAGCTCAAGATCGTGGGTAGGATAATTTCTCTCATGATTCTTTAACTGCCTAGAAGTAGGGGTGGCAAAATGGTTAAAAGAAAATAGTTAACCACCCATATTATTCACTAAAAAATGTGTTGGATAATGAACTTTTAAAAAACGAGTCAAATATGGATAAGAACCATATTATCCATTTAGAAAATTGATAACCAATGGGTCTAACCTTTACATTTGTAAAGCATCAAATTGGGGTTCCTCAAGTTAGGGATACTAAGAATTCTCCCAAAAGTGATCATATTATCCGCCGGTTAACCCATTTTTATCTGTATTAAATATGGGTCGGGTCGTATAATTTATCCATTTTTTCATTTTTTGTTTTCGACCCGAATCATATCCGATCTGACCCTCCTGTTTGACACTCCTACCTAGAAGCATAAGCAATTACCTTGTCATTCTGCATAAGAACACATCATAATCCTACTTTGGAAGCATCACAATAGATCACAAATTTACCTATAGAGGTAGGTAAAGTCAGGATTGGGGCTGTAGTCAACCTGTTCTTGAGTTCTTAAAAACTTTTCTCACAAGCTTTAGACCATTAGAACTTCACATTTTTCTGAGTTAACTTTGTCAATGGGGAAGCTACTGAAGAGAACCCTTCTACAAAATAGCGGTAGTAACCTGCCAACCCTAGAAAGCTACGAATCTCTATAGGGGTCGTTGGCCTAGGCCAACTCTTAACTACTTCTATTTTCTGTGGCTCTACTCTAATGCCTTCTTTCGAGACCACGTGTCCCAAAAATGTAACTTTATCGAGACAAAATTCACATTTGAAAAATTTGGCATAAAGCTGATGGTCCTTGAGTATTTGAAGAACTGTTCTCAAGTGATTCTCATGCTCCTTATGGCTACGGGAATATACAAAAATATCATCGATAAATACTATGACAAAGGTATCCAAGAAAGGCTTGAAGACTCTGTTCATTAAGTCCATAAAAGCTGCTCGTGCATTGGCAACCCAAAGGATATCACTAAAAATTCATAGTGACCGTACCGAGTCCTGAAAGTTATTTTTGGGATGTCTGCTTCTCTGATTTTTAACTGATGGTATCCCAATCTCAGATATATGTTTGAGAAATACCTGGCACCCTGTAACTGATCAAATAAGTCATCTATCCTGGGGAGTGGATATTTATTTTTGATAGTAACCTTATTCAGTTGGCGGTAATCTATACACATCCATAGGTAACCATCTTTTTTCTTCACGAAAAACACTGGAGAACCACAGGGTGAAACACTAGGTCGAGTAAAACCCTTATCTAAAAGGTCTTGTAACTGCTTCTTGAGTTCATTTAGCTCAGATTGAGCTATTCTGTAAGGAGGAATCGAGATTGGTTGAGTTCCTGGCAATGCGTCTATGCCAAACTCAATCTCCCTATTTGGTAGTATCACTGGGAGATCATCCAGGAACATGTCTGAAAACACTTTCACAATCGGTAGTGATTCAAGCACTGGGGAGCTAACTTTCATATCCCGCACATGTGCTAGATACGCCAAACTCCCGCTGCTCACTAGTTTTCTAGCCTTAAGGTAAGAAATAAGCTTACCCACAAGCGTACCCACTTCACCTCTAATTATAATTGGATCTTCCTCAATAAATGAGAATTTAACCATCTTCGCGTGGCAATCAATTGTAGCATGACAAGAAGATAACCAGTCCATACCAGCTATGATGTCAAAGTCTACCATTTCTAACAAGTTCAAATTGACTAATGTTTCTCGGCCCTGAACTATGATGATGCAGTTTCTGAATATATACTAAACTTTAACAGATTCCCCTATAGGTATGGAAACCTCAAACAGAATCCCTAATTTTTCTGGTGCTTTTCCAAACTCGACACAAGAATAAGGAGACACATAGGAGAAAGTTGAACCAGGATCAACTAATACATAAGCAAGGCGACCACAAATCGAGAGAATACTTGTTATAACTCTGTTAGACGCCTCAGTATTCTTCCTGTCTAGAACTGCATAGAATCTGGTTGGTCCGCCTCCTCCCTGAGCTCCACTTCTATTGGCACCACGCCTAGTCTGAGTATTAGATTCCCGAACTGGATGAGGTGCAACTATAGAATTACCCATGGATGTTGCCTGTCTGATTGGAGTTTTTCCCGGAGCTTGTCCAAGCAGTGGACAGTCTCTCTTACTATGAACCAGATCATGGCAGTGGAAACAACCTTTCTGACCCAAAAGGCATTTCTATGGATGTCTTTTGCTGCATGAAGGACATATAGGATAGGAGAACCGAGGTTAGCCCTGACTAGTTGAGCTTTGCCCCTGAGGGGCCTGACCCTTACTCTGATGGTCATGTCTGAGTGGATCTGGATAAGGAGATGAGTGAGTCGTTGATTGAATGTGATATTAATGATTCATGTTCTTACCCCCAACTGCAAATCCACTATAAATACCTGTTGTTCTAGCCTTCTTGTTGTTATCTCAATCTTCCCTAGCGATTTTATCAAAAGCCTCCTTACGCGTAGTGATATTGACAACCTGAATATAGGTCTTGTCATCCTGATGTGAAGATATATCTTTTACCATATGTGAATTCAAGCCTTTAATGAACCTTCTCACTTTTTCTCTCTCTATCGGTATCAAATTAGGTGCATACTCTACCAATTTTGTAAATTCCATCTTATATTCAGTCACTGACATGGTACTCTGTTTAAGATGTTCGAACTAACGTCGGAGCTCATCCATCTGACTGCTAGGAAAAAACTTGGCTCTTAAAGCTTCTTTGATCTGGGGCCAAGTGGCGGTAATGTAGAATCTCTGGCCTTATTGTAACCTCTCCACCATTGTCCTGTTGCACCCTTCAATCGGAACCCAATCAACTTTGTGGCTTGTGTTACAAGACAACCCAAAGAAACAAACATTTCCTTTATCTCTTCCAAAAATAACATTTGTTCATTTGGTTTATCGGTACCATTATAAGTAGGATGGTTTAATCTCAGAAAGGCAAGTGGATCAATATTTCCTGTTGGTAACTGCACTGTCTGGGAAATATTTGCATGGACAACTGGTGATGGTACCTCGAATGGAGCTTGAAAATCTTCTCCTATAACCTCTTCATCTGAATCATGAGGATCTTGAGGAGGATCATGAACACGTGCAGCCCGACCACCAGCCGGAGGGGCTAGGGACTCCAAAAAGTCAAAAATTCTGTCAATTCGATTATCCTGTTGAGGTGGAGCTTGTGCATGTCTAGTGGCCCTACCACGAGCATGATTACCTCTGGCATTTCCACCGCTATCCCTAGCATTTTGACATCTACCTCTACCTCTGCCACGTCCTCTAACTGCAAATGGTGCTATTGGTGCGGCTTGCACCTCTAGTGCTGCTTCTTGATGATTAGCAGCTGGTATCTCAACATTGTTAGCAGCAAAGGATGAAGTTGATCTTATTCTAACCATCTTGTTTGTGCTGAAACGAGAGATAAATAGGTGTTAGAATTCTGAGTTATTTACATCTAACGCACGAAGTAAGATTAAAAGAAAAGAAATTCTCCTAACATGTCCTGCAGCCTCCTAGATATAAGTATGGTGCACAGCACACCCATAAATAAGACTCTACTAGACACGGCTCATGACTCCCTAGGACTTCTCGAACCTAGCTTCTCTAATACCAACACGCCCCCAAACTGGAATGGGACGTGATTGGCACTCAACCCTTACCACTCGTTGAATGAACCCTGTACTATTTATATCAAACTTCAAGTTCAATAGCAAAGAATCCAGCGTGCTTAAATATTAATTCTAATCAAGTTGCATTTCTTAAATTAACTGATAAAAATAATAATAA